AATTGGAAGACGTATATTTGCTTGATTTCCTTTGAAGTCGTCGACCATCTCAAATCACTTTTTTTTAAATTGTATTTATGGAATTAATAAATTGAGAATACTTTTTAATTTTTTGTTTATGAAAGCAATTAATTTTTATAGTTTTATAAAGATACGTACATCTGTAGAGATATTATTTTAGTAAAAGCTTTTTGTTCTGAAACCTTAAAGAAATAATTCAATAAAACTAGTAAATAAAAATGCAAGTTATTTTGAGTGTTGATGCTTGTATAATCTAATAAAACACATTATTTCCCTTCGGATTTGACAGGAAAAAAAATTACAATTAGTGTTTATTGTTAAAAAATTTACTTGTAAATTTTGGGTGGAATTTTGAAATTCTTCCGGTTGCTTTTTGAGAATTTTTTTATTTTATTAAATAAATATGTTTGAAGAATCGAAAATTGTAAATTCTGATGTTATATTCGCATCAGAAATATTTTAAAAGAATTTTATTTTATTTAGTATTTTTGCAAGTGTTACATTACTTTTTGTATGAAACATCACCTCCATCTATTATAACTTTCGCCTTTCGGTAGTCAAGATTGAATCTATAAATCTATAAACATCAATGTTTAATAAATCTTAAAATATTTTTAAAAAATTGCAGCAATTATGTATTTTATGACATTAGGTATGGAAAAACGAATAAAGTAAAATAAAGAATAAATATTATGATTAAAAGAATCAATTAACATTATTAAACCTTTAAAGAATATTTTGTTTATATTCCTATCAATAAAGATTATTCTAAGTCTCAGAAAAGCGGAGGGAATGAAAACACATACTTGAATATATTCATTATGTGTTAAAAATAATTATATATATATATTTATTATCATTATTAATATAATAATAATAATTTTTTTTAACCATAAACATAACCAGTTCGTATTAATTCGAGGTTGTATGAAAGTGGTGGAATGAGTCTTCAAACTTTGTAACCATTGAATTTGGCTATTCTTTTTAAACAGAAGCTGTGAACAATTGGATTTTTCGTTATATTTTAAGCAAAATGTAAGACTATTTTCTTTTTTTTTCAAAAATTCACTTAATAGATCCTTAAATTTAAGAATTTTCTCCGAAGCAAATTTGTAGGACAAATATTTGGTTTTTAAAATATTTTTAAATGGCCTTAAATTTTCTATCATCATTTTATCACTTAAAACAGTGGATCGATGATAAATTTACCGTAAGAACGTTTTAAAATGTCTTTAAATAACTTAATGAAATGAGTAATATTATTATTATTATTTTAAATAGATCAACTTTAGGCTTTCAAATGAAACCAGTATTTCACTTAAAAGGAGATATTTCAATCATTTTAAATGCGTTTGTAAGGTTTTGTTTTTGTTTTGTTTTTGTTTCAATGTCTTTGAAAATAAATGAAAAATGGATTAGCGTAAAGTAGGATATGACTGTATTACGTTAAGAAGAAGTATTCATCTATATGTATTCTCATATACCCGGGTCGGTCGAAAGTATGGAGAACCCAGTGAGGATTGGTAGTTATAATTGATCTAGCGAAACAAGTTTGGTTACACCATGTCGAAGTCTCCAACGATTTTCTAAGCGTAGCTTAGATGTAGCAGAAGGTTGAAAGTGTAGAGCACCTAGTTAGGATCGAACTCGCTATTCGACCGTAATTGATCTTGCGAGGTAAGCTTGCTGATAATTACACCACGTCGAAATGCTCACAGGATCGGTTGGATTGTTCCTAGGCTGTGTACCAGAATACAACAGCTGGCTGACTAGATGTTGTATTCTTGTACACTTGCATAGTTGCATGTCTTTTAGTCTACGTACTAGTAGGTCTACTTATATTTACATTTTGGTTAGCCTATGACCCCCCCCACACAGTTTATTTTCGGAACAGTATATGTGACGCTCAATGACGATCGAACTCACTGGTAATAATTTGTGTGACCTATTTGCTCATTATTACTCCATAGCGAGGAGCATCATTTATGCATACACATAAATCATTTGTTTTAATTTTTGACTCACATTTATTACGCCCAGTCAATAGAAAAAAATATTTTGAACTGTATCGAACATTATCGGTATTCAGTAGTTGTATAAAAATAATTGCAAATTCAAACAGAAATAACTGCAGATTCTTCGCTTTCTTTTTGGACATTGACTATTAAGCTAACTTGTTTAAATGAAAATAAGTTTATTTAACCTGAGCAAGCTAATACAAGTAGATCAGCAATTTCCGTCAGCTTTGGCTCCAGGGACGTACCGGACTATCCAGTTTGCCGAATTCATAAAAACAATTCAAAAATTCACCTCTGACCCATTAATTTCTACAGAATAATCAACTGTTAGAAACTTACATTAAACTATTTTGCTAAATAACGTAGTCACTTGTAACCGTCCGTTGAATAAATCAGGCAATTGTGTGAATTTTAAATGTTTCCTCGTTCGGATTAAAAGACATGTTGGATAATCCGTTGCAAGACAAACGGTGTTGTACCTGCAACGTAGATTAATAAGCTAATAAACGCTATGAAAAAATCCTCAAAACACTGAGGACGCAGTGATTCAAAACCAAAACCGTACGTCCTCTGTGCTAAGTGGCAAAAATAGGTTAATATTTTATTTAAAAATCTAGCATCTTAGAACTTTACAAATTCTGTTGTACGTTTCTCGTTAATTGCTTCATTGAACAAACCAAAAATCCTAACCGTTATATCTGGCAAAACATGATAAAGATGACTTGCATTTTTTCTTTAATAATCTATTCTTTGAGAATCATTAAGATAAGCAATATTGTTTGGAAAACCGAAAACATTATTCGTATATTATCTGTCTTTATATTTTCTGTTAGCTTTACGAGGGTCGATCTATACCGTATTTTCTTGTGTATAATACGACCCCGTGTTTCTGAAGCTAAAACCGGGTAATAAATTACTTCCTTAAGTAATACGTAGTACAAATATCCCGATGAATTTTTTTATTTTTGAAAAGTTGTACCATATCCAATAAAATCTCAATGTCATACATATATTCCACTAAAATATTTTTTTTTACGATATTAAAGAATAGAAATGAACCGATTGTTTAGTCATCAGATGTTTCTTCTAATTTCCGTTTCAAAATTTATTTTCGAATTTTCGGGAAAAGGTGCTTTATTGTAACTTTAATGCTATCAAAACTTGACGGATCTTGTGTACTCCGTTTTTAATTTTTTAAAATCAATTTCAGTGAATTTCTCATCTTTGAGGAAAAAGACGTACAGTTACGCTGATTCCCAAAGAACACATATTGTCGACATGCCAAATAATTTTTTTTTTTTTTTTTTTTTTTGTGAACAATTGTTACCAACACCTGCCTACTTTGTGTTTTATTATCTATTGTGCTGAATGTATTTGCAATCTTGATGTTTCAAAGATGACTTCTTTTAAGCTTAGTAAAAAATTCCTAAAACGTGTACTTGTGCATAATACAGCCTCACTTTTTGCTTTTAATTTTCTTTCAAAATTTCTCCTATTATGCACACGAAAACATGTCCGCACCCTGGCGCAAATTTAAACTAAAATGTCGACTATATCGTGTTGGATCTCTGGGATTAATGAAGTGCATTGACAAAGAAAGATTGTCGAAAAAACAAATATTTGTTGTGTAAAAGAAATTCTTAACTTTTTTATTAATCTAGAGACTTATTTGTGGACCTACGTATTTAACTATGGAACTATTGTTTAAATATAAATACTCAACTTTTATTAATAGATTTTCTTGAAAGTAACTTTATTCAAAGCATTTAAATCTGTTTTTGTTTGTTCTAAGATCATAGGATATAAATGCGTAGCTATCAAATAAACAAATGCTTTCATCAAGCATATTTTTTATCATTAATCAAACAACTAGTTATATAATAACCGAGTCCTCTCGTCCACCAGGCAGGCTAGCCAAACCCTAGTACAGACGACTACTTAACCCATAGAACTGACCTGTGGCTTGTACTGTAATTACGCTGATACAGTTTCTAATAGTGAGTGCATAATCTGGTGTGATATATTTTTAAACAAGGCCAATACGCTCCAACACTCGGTCACGATGACTTCAAACTTACGTACTAGAACAATTATCGCTGGCTGCTGAATAGTTCTGTCTTCCCAAGTTTATTCACAAGGCTTGAGTTATTTTTTGTTTTTCACGTGCTGGTGTCGATACGATCGGGATGTCACCGCCACGACAAATACATCGTGGCGGGATTCGAACCAGACTCTCATGATCAGAAAGTAAAAGTTCTAGCCACGTGCCTATAAAAATAACAACACATAAAAAAGCTGAAGTGGTAAAATATCTGTGTCCGCTAAAGGCTACTTTATTTATCAAGCAGGAAGACGCGGTGTAATTATTTGATTGATGTATGGGGCATGACAGAAACGTATTTTTGTCAATCGAAACTAAGTTTTACAGCAATAGGACACGGTGACAAATGGGTGTACTGTGAACAAAATTAATTATCTCTAAGGAGACAACCGATATTGTAGATGTTAACAATATGATTGACATTAATTCTTCTTCAATAAAATACACCCCTTGACATCTATCACCGTACATGAAGATATCGCACACACTCGTTGGGATTAATATTTTAGATGTCAGTCATTTTTTTTCATTGATTCGCTTTCTACGGTTTATCAATATTTTCAAGTTATTTAAAAAAATATTTTTAGAGTGTAAGAATATATATATATATATATATATATATATATATATATATATATATATATATATATATATATATATATATATATATATATATAGTAAAGGTTTACCTATACAAGTCTTGTTAATTAACCCATAACCAGGAGAAAAGATGGATTCACACATTTCCCAAGAAACTTTGGTTTGTTATATTCACTTACGCGCTGTTTACGGAAATTGGAACTAGGCTCCTCAAATAACGATTCCGAGTCATTATCCATTACACCATCCGCACATCCTAACTTACAGCATTTGGTATTCCGAAGTGGTCACCCATCTTGGTACTGGCCAGGCTCGTTGTTGATTAACTTCGCTGATCTTACCGGAAACGGTGTTTCAACGTGATGTGGTCGTAAGACAATTATCAATTTTGTATTTTCATGAACAGGGATACTATTAGATGTCATCCTGTGAAAACATCTTCCGGGCAACTTAATGACTGCTAATTAAGTTGTGTAATGGATTAATTAAAAAAAATAAATAGATATGGTACAGTTGTCCGAACGGTTGATTTAATTAAATATCTTCACGAAATGAATTTTGTCTTGACATTAATAAATACGAATCCAAAGATGCAATATCTGGCGAATATAGTTGTCACTAAAAGATTATGTAGCCTTTTGTTATTCTCAGCGAATAGTAGAGATGTGCATGCAGCGTAACGTTTTGGGGTCGGAAAATAGAATCGACAAACCGAGTTCAAGTTCCAGCCTGCACTGTTAAGTTCACTTTCGCACGAATATTCTGTTCAAAGGTATGAATTTGTCTCCCCCACCCACAAGCTATGGCATATAATATTGTATACTTGGAGGGCTCCAAACATATGATAATCTAAAGAAACTGGTAAATTTGCTTTTTAACTCCCAAACGCCCGCACACTAAATATCTGTAAAAATTTTCCCAAATCGTCACAATTCCGCGTAAATGTTCATGCTGAACTCGAATTAACAATTAAATTATGAAGAAACCTTACCATTTTGCAGTTATCGACAAAAAGAAATCGGACTTCTTGTTGGTTGTTCGTCCTCCATTGCTGCCATCATGAATATTGATTAACTGCATAGTACCTACGCAGGCGTAATCAGAAAATTTGGCCTATTTACTTCCTTTACATAAGTTCGTTTCCGAAATCAATATGCACTACCCTAAATCAATGTAATTTTATTTTTGGATAAGTGTAGTTTTCCTTAAAATTAAAACAAACAAAAATTACAATGTAAAGAAAAGGCTAGAACGGATTTTTTTTTAAATAACCAGTTCATTGTTCCCTGCCTTCAACCCTAACCTAATTCATACTTTCAACAGTTGGTAAACACCATAGTAGATATCATACTATAGTAGAAAATGGACTGTAGATAGTAGTAGCACCATTAATGGAATAAGTATTATCTTCAAAGTGCAAAATGGTTTATAAACCCCTTCCCATTTACATTTATGAAGTTAGGCTCAGAACTACTGGTACAAGAGTAATAGCATCCCAGGTACCTTGACATCACGTAAAAATTGGGTAATTTAAAAAAATTTTTTCTCTTACCTGCTTTTAATGCGATAATAAAATTTCTTTCATGTGTAACAGAATTTGTAACTCATAATTTTGGGAATGGAATTGATTTATCAATAACATTTCCAAATTAAAGATAGCTGTACTAGATTTTTTTTTTAATATAAAAATTCATTTTACAATTATTTATTGCTGACAAACCAAGGTGATCCTTATACCAGGCCTGGGATCCATGACTGGGGGAGGACATGTGGAGACCTGAATTACAAGTAAATATATCAATTACTGAGAACATTGTTTTTTAGCAAGGAACCTGTTAGTAATGTTCAGTAATTAGTTATTTAGCAGCTATATATAATATTAGGAAGAATCTTACAATTATTGACTTACAAAGAAAGAGCAAAAATACCATAAAATAACTAAATGAATAAAAATCACTTTATTCACCATAAATTAAATATTTTTAGATGATATTGCAAAAATGATTTCATTTGTTTATACTAATTAATCCCAGAAAATATAATTATATAATCAGAAAGCAATTTCAGTATTTTAAAAAATTGTGTATTGACAAAGTCTGAAAATATGTGAGAGGGGTACGAGGGTGCAGGAGGTGAGAAGGTTAAGAGGGTGCAGTAGGTGAGAGGGATAAGAGGGTTCAGGAGGTGAGAGGGGTACGAAGGTGCTGGAGGTAAGATAGTTAAGAGTTGAGATTCCTTTGATGTGGTCTGTCCTCTTTGGAGTCTGTTTTCCTCTCTGAGTTTTGATTGAAAAAAGGTCTCATGATACTTGTTTTTGGGGATAAAAAAAAAGACTCAACCGAAATCATTTATTATTTGGGTGCGAACGCTTTCGACTGACTAAGACATTTTATTTATTAGAATTTCTTATTTATTCATTTTTAACCGGAATAAATGCGTGGTGCCTCATGCACACAAACCAGTTTATGACATTATATCTCTTTGAACATCTTCGTGTTAACATTCGGTTATCTGTGTTTATTTACTGTCACTACACATTAAAAGCCATATATGCTTATAGCAGTCAAAGTGAATTCTATATCAACGATAGCGTATTATAAATTACTGTTTGATGTAAGGAAAGAGAAAGTGGATTAATAAAAGAAGAACAGTATTTGGGGTCAATTTAATGACACGAATTTCTTCAAGGAAATCAATAGCCTCCTAAAATATTTTCTGAAAACAAAACCAGATAAACATTAAATTATAGTCTTGGATATGTAAAAGACTATAAAGCTCTGAGAAATGCGTGTTATTGTCAGTGTGTTGAGATGACAACGTAAATTGTAATCTATTATGCTACTTTAGTGATAATGTATAGGAATCTAAGGGGAAGAACTTATCTTACAAAATATAAAGTTATTTTCCTTTTTGACACTTAATTCCAAGTCGTTTCTTTTCCTGTTATTAATCAGTCAGTTCACACACATTTTCCAACCACTACCTTCATCATCATTATTTTTCGTAGGAAAAGCAACATTATATATTTTATATGTAAAGCATGAGAATTAAAATGAGCAAAGAAATAAATTCCACAAAATCGTAGGATGGTGATGAGATTTTTTTCTAATGAAATATTTCTAGTAGTGAATAATTGTTGGATGTGTATTTAAAGAATAAAAACAATTGTTCAAATATTAAATCATGCATCAAACCTCCGTAATTTGTACTAGAATCCGTTGCTACTATTTCACAAAATGGGTTATTTACTTTATTTTACAATATACAAATCATCATAATAATTTTGCAGTTCATATGTAATTTATTACAAAGTTAAGATTGAATCTTTTACTTTTCTCTTCTACATAAAGGACTATAATTTTTATAAATAAATCTCTGAAAAATGTGTGATATCATTGTCTATTTACTGAGATGACTGTGTAAATTGCAATCCATTATTTCACTTCAGTGAAGACAACATATCAAAGGGGAATAACAAAGCTTACAGAAAAATAGAGTTATTTTCCTTAGATTATATTTTTCTCTTTTTCTTTCAGTATTTTGTTCATCTTTTGTTGTTACTTTCAGTTGACGCATAATTTCTCGTCACTTGTATTTTGGTTATTTTTAATCAATCACTTAACACACATATCTTCCAACCACTTCCTGTATTGTTCAAATATCAAATATCCCATCAAACTGACGTAATTTGTACTGAAGTTCATCGCTACTATTTCACAAATTTGGATTATTTACTTTATTTTACAATAAATGTATAAGACATCATAATAATTTACAGTTTAATGCAATATATTACAATGTTAGAATGAAATCCTTTATTTTTCTCCTTTACTGAAATTGTTTATTCTAATTTCTTTATTTTTTTTATTTCTTCCTTTCTTCTTTTCTTTTATGATTACTTTCATAAACTGAAAATTAACAGACTATAAATTTTGTATTTTGAAGGCCGCCCATTACAATTTAAAAATAATCGTTTTCAGTATTAAATACTTTATATTTTTCTTTTTAAATGAGATTTTCATATATTTTTTTACTTTCATTTTAAAATAAAAATTGTGAGTGAACTGATAAATTACAAAAATATTCTCTATTTATTAAATGTAATAATATAGGCGTTACTTTATTAGATACTATATTTCTCTAACTCTTTAAATGTCGAATGTATAACAAATTCTTAGTTATATTTCCATTTTTACACCATATTAATTATATCTTATAATTTTCCCCTGTTCTATGAACTCTCTTTCCTTTTACCATTTACACATCTTTATCTATATATTTTACGGTTGTTTTTTAAATATAACTTTGTATTTTTAAGTATTACTTTGTATTTTTAAGTATAACTGTATATTTTTAAATAGAAATTGTTTTAGATTTATCTTTAAAGTTAAATTTTATTTTATCTATTTATTTATTTATTTCATTATATTTTTATTTTTAAATGTATAATTTATTTTTATTTCTAAATATATTTTTATTCTTTAATATTTCCTATTGGTTTTATATTAAATATAACTTTTTTTTAAAATATTTTACTTAACTTTAATATGAATTATTTAAATATGACTTATTTTTAAATAAATCTTATTTAATATATCTTATTTTTAAATATAACTTGTCTTTGGAATAGTATTTTTAAAAGTGATTATGTATTTTTAAACATGTCTTTATCTATATGTTTAAGGTTTTTTTAAACCCTTTTTATTCTTATCCTAGTTCCAAATTAACATTTCATTCTTCATATAACCCCAATTTAATGTTATAAGGTTAATATCCGGGTTTAATTTATAAAATCTCTTAAGACTAATACCATCAACCCTCCCCTGACCTCTACCTCGTGCCTTTCGTCTGACTGAAACATTGAAATAGATCAATTCTGTACTAGTTTTCCGGCGTTTTTTTTTTTTTTTTTGGGTAGCTTTCACGGTTAAATTTATAATTCCGACACGAACTCAGTCTATACCAGGGTTGAATAAGACTGACGTATTTTTTCGTCTGTTGAAATAAGCTTATTCCCCATATGAGGTGATTTTGGATTTTATTGTGTATTATATATATATATATATATATATATATATATATATATAGTCACTGGATCTAAGCAACCCCTTTATCCACTGGGACATGTGTCCTTGAGAACGTCTGTGTATTAATCTCTGGCAGTTATAAACCTAATAACGCAATGCAATTTTTATCAGTGCTCATATTGCAATTTTCTGTTATTATTAATTAATATTGCATTTTTTTTTTTACCAGAGTTTATAAAGCAATTCTTTGTTGTTATTCATTGCTTTTCCCTAGCACTCCTTATTACTGGTTCCCATATTTTATTAATTTCTATGCTTGCTCGGCTCAGGTAATTTTGTGGCCTAGC